GCAGAAGACTCCCAGGCATACTGCTCATCATCGTTATGCTTGGTGATCACCGTCACTTTCTCAGCAACCAAGTAGGCAGAATAGAACCCGACACCAAACTGGCCAATCATAGAAATATCTGCACCAGCCTGCAAAGCTTCCATGAATGCTTTGGTCCCAGACTTTGCGATAGTACCCAGATTATTGATCAAATCGGCCTTGGTCATGCCAATGCCGGTATCCACGATGGTGAGGGTTCGGTCTTGCTTGTTCGGAATGAGGTTAATGTGCAGCTCTTTCCCAGAGTCTAGCTTACTGGGATCGGTCAAGCTCTCGTATCTGATTTTGTCCAAAGCCTATTACCAAAACACAGAGCGTAAGGGCAGAGCTCCCGGGGGAGGGGGCTTCCCCGCAGCACAACCCCGGCCTGCAGCAGCGCCACTTACGTCCGACGAGTTGGAAATCAGCTCCCTGAGAAAGATCTCCTTATTCGAGTAGAAGGTGTTGATGATCAGGGACATCAACTGGGCGATCTCCGCCTGGAAGGCGAACGTCTCCACCTCCTCCTCCTCCATCGGCTGGTCTTGGGTCTGGGTTTCCTCAGGCATCTTGGCTAAAGGACCGCACAGGCTCCATGACGACGCAGCACCAGGACGCAGAAGCAACTCTGTAGCACTTCATTTTTATTAAAAACCTGGACCCTTCAAAGACATGGCTCAGTCTTTCATGCATTACATGATCATCTTGGAAAGTGCCTTTATGGTGAAGCGTTTGTTCAATGTTTATTCTCTATATTCTCCTGTCAGTAGAAGAAAGAAGAAAGATAATGATCTTTTTCTCCAGAAAACGATGGAACAATTAGTATTATGCAACTTTAAAAAATGTGCAAAGACATTTGAAGATCCGTGAGAGCATAAAGAGGGAATTGCCGGAAGAAGACTGGAATAAATCAGGAAAAGTACCCAAAGCAGAGATCAGATTACTCAACCTTTTAGAGACAGCATTTCAGGAATTTAGAGACATTTTTAGACAAAGGAGATGAATCTGTCGTGACTCTATTCCGTTATGTCGACTTTACAAGGAAAACTCCCACCTCTCCGTGGAGACATGAGAGAGTCGGGGGCAGCATGGCTTGGGGGGCTGGCCTTCAAGAAAGTTAATGCATTGAGTGGGGTACGTGGGGGGCTCTGTTGGTTAAGCGTCTGACTCTTCATTTTGGCTTAGGTCATGATCTCAGGGTTCTGAGATGGAGCCCTGTGGCAGGCTTTACGCTCAGCGGGGGAGTCTACTCAAGACTCTTCTCTTCCTCTCCCTCTGCCGCTCCCCACCTGCTCCCCTGTGCATGCTCTATTTCAAATAAATAAATAAATCTTAAAAAAAAAAAGCTAATACATTTATGGCATTTCCTCTGACGTGATTTTCCCCATCCTCCCCTTTGTCTTGTCATAAAAATCTGTCCATTTTCTTCCTCTTACAACAGAATTAGTGCTTGCCTAACTGACTTTCCTGGAATCTAATTATTTTTAAACATTTTCTCAACTTTTTTCCTGTACTCAACAATGAAGACGATATTGCCAACAGAACTGAGGTAATCATTTTCACAGGGAAGTCATTTCCAGAAATCTCTAGCCTGTACCTGGCACACTTCCTTTAATAACTGTGCTCATTAATTTGTTAGAGCATGAAATACCCAACTCCGTTTGTCACACCCTAGATTACAGTCAAGGGAACACCTGGTTCTTCTCACATCCGCCATAAAAAGAGGCACAAAAACCAATGGCTCGCCTGCCATCTTGTGCTCATCTGTGTCCAGGAAAACCTCATGGTGGTGAAAATACGCTCCTTCACTCCTAATGTTACCTCATTACTCGGAATCAACAGGATTGATAGCTGCTCTTTGACATAACATATCTTGCTAGATGATGAGTTTCCCTCCTTGACGCGAGCCTCTTTGCTAGTGAGGAACAACAAGATGGTGTCCACGTGACTGGAAGTACAAACTGACAGCCTTGGTTCTTTTGTACCTCCTGGAGGCTTCATTACATGTGTGACACTTCTTTATCTGGCAAATACCACACGCCAGCCCTCTCTGGGTGACTAGCAGTTTAGCAGCCTCAAAGACAAAGTCCTGCCCACCTCTACAGCTCCTCTCTCCCCCAATCCACCGACTTCTTGCACTAGATTCCCGAGACTCTGTCATGCACAATAAGGGTATTAGGTAGAGACAGAACTGCAGAAGCCACCAATATCCTTTGGTTTACCTTGGGAAGGACTGGAGTCCTTGGGAGAGAAACATATCCAGAGGAGGAAGAAGGGAGAAGGAATGAAGCAAAGGCATGGACAGGGAGGAGGGGAGAGTCTGACGAGAGAGGAGAGAATGGGGCAGCCATATGTGAGAGTCATAAAGGGGGAAAGGGGAAATGGGATGTTGAGCATGTTCACTGGGTTTTATTAATGGAATCCTCCTTTGCTACTTATTGAAATAGTTCAATAATGACTTAAGTTTTCAAGTTTTGTGGGATTGTTTTGTTTTGTTTTGTTTTTGTCAGATGGGGGTTTCCTTAACTAGATATCTGAGCGTGAGTGGGCCGCACGGCTGCTCCATGTTATGTGGCAGAACTGAATGAGGCTGTCTGGAGGTTATGGGTTCTTTTCTGAGGGGCTGGAAGTTACCGCCTGAATGGCAACGGTGGAAGTTGCCTTCCACCATCAGCGGGATGGTGGAAGAGGCGTTGAGCCTGGGCGGGAAATCCTGAACATGCGTTCCCATTTAGGCTATTTTCCAGTAGACAAAGTCACCTGCCTTCCCCAGGGTTACATTCCTGACCACAGACTCCATGACGATCTGGTGAGCATGCTAACTCTGTCGTCCTTTTCTGTTCTTGTTTTTTTTTTTTTTTTTTTTTTTGAGAACAGCGTTTTCCTTAAAGGAGGTGACAGGCTTTGTGAAACACAAGCTGGTGGAAAAGATTTGGGGGACACAGGTGCATCTTGTTGTTCCTCATAGCCAGCCAGCAACATAAATGCCAGCCTCCAGCCTCCTCAGTATTCTGGATAAGCTCCAAATTAGTTGCCCCAACCACCAGGGCCACTAAATTTGGGAACCAGGGAGAAAAACTGGGTGGGGGGTGTAGAGGCTTGTGTCCATGAGCATTTCCTGTGTAACAAACAACCACAAAATCATAACAGGAAGTGCGTGTTAGCAGTGGGAGAGTCTGTGTTGTGTGAAAGGAGGTCTCGGTCCTTGGACTCCCCTCAGAAGACTTATGTGAGGATCCACACTCAAATAAAGCCAGCCAGAAGGAAGGTAGCAAGCACAAAGCAGTTTATTAAGGACACGACAGTTGGGAGAGCGGGCAGGTGCGGGGCTGGCAACTGGGGGTCAGGGGTGTTTGCAGAGGTTATGGGTCAGAGCTAGGGCAGTTTCCAATCATCTAAGGGACTCTTCCCACCAGTTGAGAGGAGTTTTTGGCCCCCGGAGGTTCTTGCCGGAACTGTCATGGCCGCCTTCCCCCAGGGGCAGGGGTAGGTAGGCTGAAACCACAGTGTAAATATATTATAATGAAGCTACCAGTTACCCTGGGGCTGAGGTTGAAAAGCAGAGCATCTGAGGGGCACCGACCGACTGTGGTGTTTAGCGTGTCAGTCCCCGGGGGGCCGGAAGCCTGTGAGGTCGGGATGTTAAAAACCGGAGTCAGAACGCTGTGCCCTCAAGCCTTCTATCACCAGCTTTGCCTCCAGCTCACGTCTAACTAACTGCCAACTCCATCATTTGCTGCTCCCAAGTCTGAGGTCAGCCAGGGGTTCCTAGGTCCCTGCCGATCTTGGCCAGACTAGCTCAGGTATCTGGAGATCATGCGTGACAGGGACAGCTCAGCTCTGCTCGGGGACTCCTCCTCTACGAGGCTAGTCTGGGCATGTTCTTGGCCTGGCACCTGCAGAAATATGAGCGGGCAGGCCCTGTTCAGGCATCTTCATGAGCCCTATTTGCTAACATCCCATTGACCAAAGCGAATCTCAGAGTCCAAGAGAAGGACCAAGAGGAGGAAGCCACCGCAAACTTAGACGGCAAGGGCACGGATAGATGGGGAGAACCAGCAGCTTTTTTGTGGTCTACCCCTCATAACCTTGAGGTAAGATCTGGCTCAAACTCTTTACCTGGGATTTGGTCCAGGGGCTCCCTTTTCACATGACCAGGCCCCATTAATCTGTGGGGGTGTTCCTGTCACTCCCCTGTGGTCTGGCCCACTGCCAACCATAGCAGACAGTAAGGGTTCTGATGAATTTTTACCATAGCTTGAGGGCAACAGAACTAGAAAATTTAATCTGTTTTCTGAAGGAGGGGAAATTGGAGGGGGAGACAAACCATGAGAGACCATGGACTCTGAGAAACAAACTGAGGGTTCTAGAGGGGAGGGTGGTGGGAGAATGGGTTAGCCTGGTGATGGGTATTGAGGAGGGCACGTTCTGCATGGAGCACTGGGTGTTATATGCAAACAATGGATCATGGAACACTTCATCTAGAACTAATGATGTAATGTG